TGATGGGAAAATCACAAAGGAGAGAAAAAACTACCAAAAACAGCAAGTTCCATAATCCTTTCCTTCCATCAACACACTGGACCAACTGTAAAGCAGCTCTCAAATATTAGGGGTCTCAAGGATAGGGAGTGAGGTGCTAAACATTTCCAGAGCTTTACATTAGTCCGCTTGACCCCTAACCAGAAACTGATCTACATTTTTTCTCGCTAATCCCAACCTGTCTTTCTCTCACCTCTGAGACCCCCACCAAAATCCACATCCCCAGAGGAACCCCAATGAGCACTTCTTACTGAAACAGCAAAAGTAGACACACAGCAAGAACGAATTCAGGAGTTGGTGACAGCAAGTACCTAAATGGTCAGTGAACACGATCAGAATTTGTTTTCTCATGACTCCCCACCATCTGTCACCCACAAATCTCCACTTCTAGGCAGGATGCCAAAGTGAAGATGTGATGGAGAAATTGAAGCAGAAACAAGGAGCATGTAAGAAACTGCATGTGACAGGGATCTGTTAAAATCCTTCAGCCTGGTTACTAGGCCTCTGTCCAGTTTTGCTTGCATAGGTTAAGGCGTACAAGGCTCAATTCTACACCAACTCTCAAAAGTCAGCCTACAATCTACGTCAAACACTAACTTAAGGACTTCAGAGAAAGGACAACCTCTATAGAAGAGAGTCCTTCTCAGACCAAATGATTCTTGGCATCACTCTAAGCCCATGCATCCTCCTCCCAGGGAGCATGTCAGTCAGAAACCTGTCACTGGAAGCACCTTACCCGCTCTGGGGTTGGGCTGGGGCAAGTCTTCTTTCCAAGTAGGCACTGTAATTTCTTCCAGTCCCTGGGGCACCTGAATCTTCAGCTGAAATTGGGGCAGATGCTGCTACAGAAGCTGTGGAAAGGCTGATCTAAGCCTAGAAGAGGGTCATTTGACTGGCTTTAATTCCCTCCTTAGCACATCTGCCCGGCATCCTCCAGATCTCTCTTCCTCACTATCCCACTCTACTAGAAAGATCCCTTTCCCCACTGGCCGGACAGATATAGTCGGGCCTCTGTCCCACGCTCTAGGCTTCTTTATTCGCGGATAAGAAATTCTCCTCCAACTTGTAACTCTGCTTCTCCAGGGCCCGCACACCACCTACTTGTGGCTGCCCCGCCCCAAATCCCTCTCCCGCTAAGGCTGCCACTAGACCCTAGGGCCCCAGTCCTCCGCCCCAGCTCCTTTTTTTCCTCTCCGTCTCGGACCTTCCTCCGTTCCATGTCCTCTTTTCAACCTGGGAGCCAGTCCCCCCTTCGCCCCTACTACAGGCTAGGGTCCTCGCAATCCTCCCCAACTCTGGCTTCCCCGCCCGACTACTCCAACCCCACAACAAACTTTCCGCCGCCGCCAGCTGCGTTCAGGCCGCCATCTTGCCGCGGGGCAGGCCGGGTACTGGCCAAGGCTGCGGGAATCCCCACGCACTTGGCGTCGCGCGTCATCGGGGGCGGCGCCATGGGGGCGGGGCCTCGGGTTGGGGAACTGGGCTACGAAATGATGGCGGAAAGTGGGGCTCTCCTGAAAGCGGGGATTGGAAGCCTGGCCACCGGAGAAGGAAGGATGTGTCAGGAACAGAGCAATTGCAGGAAGTGGGGAAAGACTCAAGTACTGAAAGAAAAAAAAAAAGAATAGGGGAACCCACCTCAAAGATATGGTGGGAGAGAGAATCGTGCTACTGGGTTTGGCATCCGGAAATCCGCAGGATCCAGCCAATTCCACCTTCAACAGCCTCATTTTTTTTTTTTTTTTAACCTCTCCCGGAGACTTTAAGTTTCCAAATTGTCCTTTGTTTTCAGGACATCAGGCCTTAAGATGTCTTAACTTCTTTCCTCCTCCCTTGCATCATCAGTTCTTCCTACTCATTCCAACCATCAACTCAAATGTTACCTCCTCCAGAAAGTCTTTCCTTCAGTGCTTTTTTTTTTTTTTTTTTTTCAGACGGAGTCTCGCTCTGTCGCCAGGCTGGAGTGCGGTGGCACGATCTCGGCCAACAGCAACCTCCGACTCCCGAGTTCAAGCAATTTTCCTGCCTCAGCCTCCCGAGTAGCTGGGACTAGAGGCGTGCACTACCACGCCCAGCTAATTTTTTGTATTTTTAGTAGAGACGGGGTTTCACCATGTTGGCCAGGCTGGTCTCGAACGCCTGACCTCGTGTTCCTCCCGCCTCAGCCTCCCAAAGTGCTGGGATTACAGGTGTGAGCCACCGTGCCCAGCCCAGTGCTCCTTTTGCTGGGCATCACTAGAAACTTGTACATAGCTTTATTGTAGCTGTCTCATGCAGTGTAATTATTTATTTACATGTTATATCATTTTTGCCCTGCTGCTTCTTCAGTGCAAAAACTATCTCTGATTGCATCTTCATACCCCCTAGCAGGTGCTCGGCACACAATAAAATGCCTCATGAATAAATGGCATGTCTTCCTCCAATGCACTAAGCATATTTCTGCCTCAGGGTCTCTAAGTTTGCTGTTCCCCATACCCGGAATGTTCTTCCTCCAGATATTGATGCTCATTTGTGTCTTTGCTCAAGTGTCATCACTTTGGAGAAGACTTGCTTGGCCACTCAATCTAAATCAGCATCCCTATTCTTCTTTACCCTGCTTTAATGTTTTCATTCATAGCACTTATCATTATCAGACATTATATTAGATATTTATTTGTTTATTGACCATCTCCCCACTACGAAGCAAACTCCAGAGGTCTGGAATGTTTTCTCACTCATCACAGCATCCCCAGTGTCTAAAACAACACCTGGCATAGTAGGTATTCAATAAATTTTTTTAATTCTGCTTTTTAAATTAATTAATAATTTTTTTTGAGACAGGGTCTCACTCTGTTGCCCAGGCTGGAATGCAGTGGTGTGATCTCAGCTCATTGCAACCTCCACCTCCCGGGTTCAAGTGATTCACCTGCCTCAGCTTCCTGTGTAGCTGGAATTACAGGCACGTGCCACTGTGCCCAGCAAATTTTTTGTATTTTTAATAGAGACGTGGGTTTTACCATGTTGGCTAGGCTGGTCTCAAACTCCTGACCTCAAGCAATCTGCCCACCTCAGCCTCCCAAAGTACTGGCATTACAGGCGTGAGCCACTGCACCCTGCCAATAGAATGAATGTATAGTATGGAGGTGAGTGATTGACAGATTTTGGAATATAGTGGTGGAGAAGAAGTGTTGAAAATACTGTAAAATAAGAAAACGCATAGATGGAAGTTACATAACCTCAAGGCTCCACTTAGCCCTATCAGGAACAGTAGCAAAGACAGGCCCCCAGACTCAGCAAAGAAGAAAGTGAGATGAGAACCAGGTGGAATTCTGGAGCTGGGTCCTCAGGGAGCACAGCCATCCTAGGAAAGCCCCGGGGCACCGAGCAGGCCAGGTAGACGAAATGAGGCAGGCTGGAGGCCAGGAGTCTCCTCTGACCTAAAGACAACATCCACCCCAGCCCAGGCCTCTCTTGGCCAGATGGTTCCGGAGAAGCATCTGTCCCTCCATAAATTATCCAGGGCTCCCTCCAGCCTATCCTCTCTGGTGACAGCCGGAACAATTGTCCAGGAATTCCATCTGCTCCCCTATCCCTCTCTCCTCCACAACTCATCAACATTTCAGAGCAGCAAGGTATCCCATTTCCCTGGACCTAGGGATGGAGCTGGGTCTGCCCCTTGGTGAAGCTGTTATCAAGTACCCACCCCCATCAAGACACACACACAAAAACCTCAGCAGAGCTTCCCAGATCCCCAGAGGAAGAGGTCAGCCATCTTTATTTTTCATCCCATCCATGCCTTTCTATCCCATACATCTTTTTAAAAATAAACTTATTAAAATTACACTAAATAAACTAATCATATAGCTTTTGGTACAGCTTAAAATGAAGGCTTTCGGGCCGGGCACGGTGGCTCAAGCCTGTAATCCCAGCACTTTGGGAGGCCGAGGCGGGTGGATCATGACATCAAGAGATCGAGACCATCCTGGTCAACATGGTGAAACCCCGTCTCTACTAAAAATACAAAAAATTAGCTGGGCATGGTGGCGCGTGCCTGTAATCCCAGCTACTCAGGAGGCAG